TGGGTGTAGAAGTACACAACCATTAGAGCAGTCTACTAGTCATGAACGTTCATCATGACACAAGCATCTGCCAATGTGTTAAAGAGGGAATGTAAAGCATGCTCTGTGCATCATCAAGTGGAATTTCATTAAGAGAGTTTCTACTGTCCTTGCTCATTTAAAAAAAAAAATCCAGGGGTGCCTGGTTAAATGTCTGACTTTGGCTCAGGTTATGATCTCATGGTTCGTGAGTCCGAGCCTCGAATGGGGCTCTCTTCAGTTGGCGGCAGAGACAGAATTAATTAATTAATTAATTAAATCCACTGCTTAATCATTAATCGCTTAAATCATATGACGTACCAGGCACCGTACTAAGCCTTTGGCGTGAATTATCTTGTTTAATTCTCACAACTCCATGAGATAAATCTATTTTTTAAGCTTATTTATTTATTTTGAGAGAGAGAGAGCGAGCATGCACACGCATGTGTGCACATGAGCAGAGAAGGGCCAGAGAGAGAGGGAGAGAGAGAATCCCAAGCAGGCTCATGCTGTCAGCGCAGAGCCCGAAGCGGGTCTTACTCCCACAAACCATGAGATCATGACCTGAGTCGAAATCAAGTCTGACGTTCAACTGGCTGAACCACCCACGCTCCCCAAGATAAGAGTACCATTATCTCCATTTCACAGCTGAGTAAACTGAGGCTCTGAAAGATTCAGTAACTTGCCCTAGGCCACACAGTGACTAATTTGTTCTTCCTCCTGAAAGAACTGTCTTACTAATGTATAGGAATCAAGTTAATTGTTCGGATCCATTCATCTACTTATTCAGCAAACATATATACATACTTCCAGGTAGTCAAACACGTGGTTTCTGTTTTCAGATACCTGGAAAAGGCAGGTAAATCTGCGAGGTAAAAGATTTTCCCCAATTCATTCAGCTAATAAGTGAGTAGAGCACGATTACAATTCAGGTTTGATGTAGCAAATTGTCACATGACAGCTCTGGGGGCCTAGAAGCTTTGGCAGATTGTTGGGTACAGATAACTACCTTGAACATTTGTTGTTCCCATGAGAAGAGGAGTTTGGAGCTCCCCAGAAATCAATGTCCAATGATTAAAACACAGTTTGTAAATTGGAGACTGTAAATAGAAGTTCTAAAAAAAGTTTTAAATTGTGTATGTATCTATCTAATCCTTGAACAACACAAGAGTTAGGGATACTGACCCCTTACACAGTCAAAAATCCTTCTCTATCTTTTCACTCCTCCAAAACTTAACTACTAACAGTCTGCTTACTGTTGACTGGAAGCCTTACCAATAACACAATCAATTAATACATATTTTGTATGTTCTCTGTATTCTATACTGTATTCTTACAATAAAGTACGCTAGAAAAAAGAAAATGTTATTAAGAAAATCGTAAGAAAGATAAAATACATTTGTAGTGCTACACTGCAGTATTGTACTGTATTTAACAAAACAAATCCATATACAAGTGTACCCATGCACTTCAAACCTGTGTTGCCCAAGGGTCAACTGTATACACATATATATGCTTTCAAGTATTTATTTTTGAGAGAGAGAGAGAGAGAGTTTGCACACATGAGTGCATGTCAGGGAGGGACACAGATAGAGGGGGGAGAGAGAGAATCCCAAGCAGGCTCCACGGTCGGCATGGAGCCCAGTGTGGGATTTGATCTCACAACCGTGAGATCATAACCTGAGCCAAAATCAAGAGTCAGACGCTTAACCTACTAAGCCACCCACGAGCCCCTATATAAAAAGTTTTCTTTTTTTTTTTTTATTTTTTTTTAATGTTTATTCATTTTTGAGACAGAGAGAGACAGAGCATGAATGGGGGAGGGGCAGAGAGAGAGGGAGACACAGAATCGGAAGCAGGCTCCAGGCTCTGAGCCATCAGCCCAGAGCCCGACGCGGGGCTCAAACTCACGGACCGCGAGATCGTGACCTGAGCTGAAGTCGGACGCTCAACCGACTGAGCCACCCAGGCGCCCCTAAAAAGTTTTCTTTTTAAGATAAACGCTGTTCTACTGTAATCCAAGGGGGAGGGTAAAACAGGATTCAGGATTGTAGTTCCAATTCCTTGAGGGGGGACCGGTAGTAAAGAATTTAGATCCACTAAAGAGCTTGATCAGAACGTTGAAGTGTCAGTTTAAACACAAACATGGAATGGAAAAGAGAATCAAAAGTCCAGAAAAGAAACAGAAAAGTCCAGAAAAGAGAAAATAGAAAAGTTGTATAGAAAGAGATATTATGAGAGAAATAATCGTAACCTAAAAATTGAGGAATTGGATTATCATGGTTGAAAAACATTAAAGCCTGCATGTTGAGACAGAACCAAGCCCTTACCTCTTATGCAACACGTTCCACAAGGCTGGCCAATTTTGAGGTACATTATGGAGGGCTGAAGGGGAAATGCCTCTCCGGAAATGGGGGTGGAGAGCCCGAGCCACGTGAGCGCCTGACCTCCAAAGGCATAAATGCCAAAGGCTTTTAGAGCCAATTGGCAACATGTGTGGGGATGGAAGACTCAGTAGATTACTCTTATAAACATGGTATGGGATCTTACGGAAGAAAGCAAAAAGGAAGCCTTGATCGGAATCCTTACAAGAATGGCTATATATTTATTCTTTGTGACTGCAGAAACATTTAAATACACAAACACATGGAATGTGGCAGCCTTGATGGGGAGGATTAAATACTCTGGTGGAAAAAAAGAATCAAAAATGAGGAGCAGAAAGGAAAATCTTGAGTTTCCTAAGTTGTTTGCGAAGAAACCAGAGCCTATGACAGAATTTGGTCCTCATGACTGAAATGTTTCTTTGGTGTCGGAAAAAGTATTGCTGTCATATCTCTCTTTAGAAATTCTTCTTTTTTCTTTCTCATAATAAAAATCCCGTGGCAGCTCCTTGTCTGGAGGGCTTTAAAAATAGGAGCGATCTCATCTGCCTGGAATGGTCTGTGTCAGCACTTGCCCTAGGCAAGGTTGCCACATAGGCAAAAACTCCCCCTTCCCTCCTCCCTTCCAGACGTCCCCCTCCCCCACTGCGCCCCAATGCCCTTCATGCCCTTGCACCCCCCACTCTGTGTGGGCTGACCCCCTCTTCCCAGACCGCAGCTCCAATGTGACCTCCCACATAAAATCAAACCCCCTCTCCCTCAAGCTTTCTCCAGGTGCTGGGGATGCAGTAGGTTTTACCCCTTGCGGCCTATTTGCATTTTAAAATAGGACCCTGGCTGACCCACATGAATCTCGAGCTGGTGGTGGAGCTTTGGACAGTGTAACTAAGTAGAGAGAAGTCCAGGGGAGAGGGGAGCATTTGGGGTCGCTGGGGGGAGGGGGTGGGGTAGGTCGCCTTCCTGGAAGCTATTAAATCCCAGATGTGGGCCCCTGCTCCGCGTGGCACTGCCTTGAGGGAGAGGGTAGGGGGTGCGAGGAGGGTGGCTGGGCTCTCTGACCTCTCAAGGTTGCCGTAAATTCTACGGGTCGGTGATTTCCAACTACATTTCCCCTCACCCGGCTTCCTTTGCAGCGGCATAGGCACCACGTGACTTGGCTTTAACTAGAGGTTTTCAGCAGCATTTCTTTGCGCCTATCATCCAGGGCCCAATTTTCCCATCACGGCCCTCCCTGCAACGGCTCCGGGACATTTTCAGAGAGATCTTCAAAGCTCCTGTTCTCAGAGAAGCCCAGGAAAGGGGCTGTTTTGTGTTCACCGTGTACGTGGGCTTTATGAAGAAAAACAAAAACAAAACCGTGTGGCCCTATGTGAACGAGTTATGCTGGACCCAGATTTGGTGGGAAAAGCAGCAAAGTGAAGTCTACTCAAGGAGCTCCTATGAGTAATTTGGCCAATTTCATGTCAGAGCGACAAACATTCAAGAGCCCCTACTAGGTGCCAGGCTTTGAGTTAGACGTGGTGGGTAACAAGAAAAATAAAGCAAGGTCCCTGCTATGAAGGTATTCAGTCTAATGGGAAAGACAGACATCCGGGTTCAAAGTGCACGCTGGAGGTAAGAGAGGGTGTTTGGGAGCACGGAGGTTGCCCTTGGCTCACCCTGTGGCTGATAGGTATCCGGGAAAGCTCTCCAGGGAAGATGGCATCTGAGCTGAGTAGGAGTGAGCCAAACCAAAGAAGGGTGGGAAGGGCGGTCTGTGGAGAAGGAATGACAGGGGAGCAGAAGCCGGAGCCATGAAACTACTTGATGTGTGCGGGGAACTGCGAGCAGGCTGCGATTATTAGAAAGGAAAATGCCAGCGAGGGGGAGGGGCAAGAGAAGAGGCCGGAGGGGCAGGCGGGGCCACGTGAGCTTGAGCCAAAGTGGGCCCAGCCTCCTGAGCGAAGACTAGAGACTTTATCCTGAGGGGAGCCACAGAAGGATTTTAAGCAGGTCAGATTTGCATCTTGATTAAACTATCTGTCAATTTGGGGGGAAATCATTCAAATTGCCTGTGGGATGAATTGATTAAAGAATTCCATTGAAGGGGTAGATTTGCAGATCTCGCCATAGTTAAGTGCAAGGCTCTCTTTTTCCAAGAGGATTTGTCATTAGTCTGAGGCTTTTTTTTTTTTAATTTTTTTTTAACATTTATTTATTTTTG